GAGCTGCTGCTCAGGATAAGTCAGTTGAGAGGCTGTGCTTAGAAACGCACACTTGAAGATGACTTCTCCATCGGGGTGCAGCTGTGGGTGGTTTGGTATATACTGTCTGAGTTCAAACAGCTGTGGCCCTGAGCTGCTGTGTAAGAGTGTGGAGCTGAGAGTCTTGCTCCCAGGCAGGGTCTTTGGAAGGCTTTTTGGCTGAGGGGAGCCACTGCTTTGACTGCATATGGCAAGCATGTCTACTGAGTGTCAGTGACATGTGGAGGCACGTGTCTCTCTGCTGGGGTAGGGCCACTGGAGCGGGCTCTGAGGCTGAGCATGAAGACCAGCTCTTTAGGGACTCGGCAAAATTTCCTCGGTACTTCTGACAGTGACCAGCTCAGTTTTGTGACTGGGCTACCATGTCAGCTGTTGGATAAGTATTTCAGATGGCAGTTCCACAGAGTGACCTCACATTCTTTGATTCTGTCAAACTATAGGTGCTAGAGTTTGATGAGCCTAGAGTGGGCCTCCTGAGACATGTCTCAAGATGCTAGGGCATTTGGATTTTTCCTCTAGAGAGTTGTGACCCAGGGGCATCCTCTTCATATGGCTTTGGGTTAAAGGAAGGGACACACTGAAGTAGTTCTCCAGATAGTGGGGTCTGTGAGATTGCCATTTGAAATTTTCCTGGTGGAGAAGACTTCTGGTTCCCGCTGATGTCATCACCTCTTAGGCCCACCCTTGTGTGTGTTCAGCTTTTGTACATCTACCCCCAGATGAAGTGGAGTGGTCTTGTCCTTCCTCAGCTCTGTATGTGCAGCATGGCATGCTGGGTCTCTTACTGTTTATGCGTTGCTTTTGTGTGCATGGTTCACGTTCTGTTCAGCCCATCCGCTTAAGTCAAGCTGGTCTGCCGTCATGCCAGCGTGTTTAAGAACAGTTTCACAGCCCTGAAAAGAAAACCTGTTCATGTGTCTCATCAGCCCGAGCCAGCTGTTAATCTACTTTGTGGGCCCATAGTTTTCCCTTTGGGATATTTCTTATCAGTGCAGTTGTACAACACGTGGTCCTTTTGCATTGGGATTTCTTTCATGTAATGTGTCTTCAAGATTCATCTGTGTTCAACATTTAGAAGAAATATCTCTGGCTGAGTTTTTTTGGTTTTGTTTGCTTGGTATCTTTTCTTCCTTCCCCCCCCCCCCCCCAACAAGATTTCACTATGTAGCCCTAGCTGGCCTGGAACTCTGTACACTAAGATGATCTCTAACTCACAGAGAGCCACCTGCCTCTGCCTCTAAAATCCTGGGCTTAAAAGTCGTGTGTAGGTCAGAGGTCAAAGCCCGGCGTCTTTCTCTGTCACACTTGGTGTTTTTAAAGACACTGAGCCTGGAGCTCACTAGTCTGACTGTTGGTTGAGACCCAGGGTCCTCCTCATCCCCAGCCTTGGGATTTCGGGTATGTGTTGCCATAATTGTCCCTCCTCCCCATTTGGGTATTGGGTCTTTGGGCCTTGTGCTTGTTGACTGAGCCATCTTCAGCCCGTCTTTGCTTTTTATGCCTATTTAATTCCCAACTGTCCAAGCATCCCATTCCTGGAGTATACACATCCCAGTTTTCAGCTGACAGAATTGACTGATTCCTTCTCTTCTATTACAGTTTTCACATACTGTTTAAAATATCTTAGGCAGCTAGAGAGACAGTTCAGTGGTTAAGAGCACTGGCTCCTCTTGCAGAGGATCCGAATTCAATTCCCAGCACCCACATGATGGTTCTCAGCCGTCCATGGTTCCAATTCTAAGGACTCTGATGCCCTTTTCTGACCCCTGCAGGTACCAGGCATGCACATGGTGCACAGACATACATGCAGGCAAAATATCCACACACTTAAAATCTTAGGCAAAATGACGTTCTTACAGTGAGCAACTCTTGAGTGCTCAGCCTTGCCCCAGCACTGAGGGAGAGGCCAGGAGAAGTCCCATTGGAAAGATTTGACTAGTGTGGCCCAGTGCTTCTAGACTGATCACAGGTTGAGCTTTCTTCAGTGCAGTCCCACTCCACCTCCCAGTCTCCAGTAGGTATTAGAAAGGTTCTCTTGCATGAAAGGACTCCAGTCACAGTTGTTTACAAATCTACTACTAGGTATGTGAATAGGTAAGGTAAGGATGATGTGTCGTATTCTGTATGGATCCCTTTGCTCATAAACTGACTTACAATGCACATAACAGTGTTCACACACAATTCTTCCTGGTTTTCTGCTTCAGATCAACCTGCTGGGAGGAGAGGGCAGGCTGTTGCATCTTTGTATTCCTTTGTGCTAGATAGGCAGATCACTTTGCCTCATTGAGTGTTTATCAGTTGGGTTTCAGGATGTTTCTAAGCATTTTGTAGTCTGCAAACCAAGTTTGGCTACAGTCTCCAAAATCCTAGACTCAGATACTCTTTGGTAAAGCTTGTGGGTGATTATTTAAGAACAGATAGTTGACATTTGGGTTTGCCTAAGTGGAGGAGAGCAGTTTGGTCTCTGGTCCTGTGCTGTATCTCTAATTCTTTCTTAAGGGTTTGAAGAATGTGGGATTAGGCAGATACTTTGTTATTAAATCGTTAAGCTTAATAAAAGTTGAAATTTCCATTAGCCAACATTAAAGTTAAATTTGGCAAAAATGCATATTAGTTTTTAATGAGATTTTCTTATTACTTTCAGTGTTAAGTTGTTTCTTTTTACTCATAAGTGTTAAATATATGACTGCCTTCATAACGTTGGTCAGATTTTATATACCGTTGATTTGTCTTAATAGTTGACCACATTTAAGTTGTCACTTAATTTTTAATGGATAGAAAATTGTGCTGGCTAGTTTTTGTCAACTCAACACAAGCTAGAGGTACTGGAGCAGATGGAGTCTCAGCTGAGGAAAATGTCTCAATAAGATCAATCTGTAGGCAAGCCAGTAGGGCATTTTCTTAATTAGTGATTGATGGGAGCGGGCCTAGTCCACTGTGGATGGGACCAGCCCGAGTAGGTAGTCTTGGCTCCTGTAAGAAAGCAGGATGAGCAAACCCATGGTGTGCAAGCCAGTAAGCACCCCTCTCCGTGGCTTCTGCATCAGCTCCTGCCTCCAGGTTCCTGCCTGAATATTCAGTGACGAACTATGATGTGGCATGTAAGCCAAATAAAGCCTTTCTTCCCCAGTTGGATTTTGGTCATGGTGTTTTATCACAGCAATAGTAACCCTCACTAAGAAAAGAATATTGGATTTTCAGTTTTCGTTTTGTTGTTGTTTTTATTTTTTATTTATTTATTAAAAATTTCCACCTCTTCCCCGCCTCCCCTTTTCCTCCCCCTCTCCACCTCCCCCTCCCTCTCTAGTCTTAAGAGCAGTCAGGGTTCCCTGTCCCGTGGGAAGTCCAAGGTCCTCCCCCATCCATACAGGTTTTTAAAGGTGAACATCCAAACAAACCAGGCTCCCACAAAGTTAGTCCATGCAGTAGAATTAAATCCCAATGCCATTGTCCTTGGCTTCTCAGTCAGCCTTCATTGCCAGCCACGTTCAGAGTGTCCATTTTGATCACATGCTCCATCGTTCCCAGTCCAGCTGGCCTTGGTGAGCTCCCGTTAGATGAGTCCCACCGTCTCAGTGGGTGGACGCACCCTTTGTGATCCTGATTTCCTTGCTCATATAGTTATCCTCCTGGATGTTGGAAGTAGACAAGATTGCCAGGCAAACTTGGGGGCATGGGGGGTTGGGGGTGGATGTAAGGGGAGTTGGGTAGAGAGAAGGGAGAAGGGGAGGATTCGGGATAGTTTGGGGGAATGGGATGGGTGGGATGGAGGAAGGATGGATATGGGAGCAGGGAAGTAAATATCTCAACTAAGGGAGCCATTTTAGGGTTTGTAAGAGACTTGATTCTAGAGGGATTCCCAGGTCCAAGGAGAGATCCCCAGATTGTTCCCTGGGCAGCAGAGGAGAGGGTGCATGAACTGGCCTCATCCCATAACCATACTGATGAAGATTTTGCATATCACCATAGAACCTTCATCTGGTGATGGATGGAGATAGAGTCCCACATTGGAGCACTGGACTTAGCTCCCTAGGTCCAAATGTTGTTTTGTTTTTTGTAGATCAAACCTAGGGCTTGGTTCATTTAAGACAAAGACTCTACCACTGAGCTATATCCTCAGCCTGGATTTTTAATTGCTTGTAATTGAAACATGACCTTCATTTCTAACTGTTATTATCTTCCTGATTTGAGTTCTCAGTATCAATATCATGCTGCTTTTTATTATATAAGTTTATTTAATATAGTCTCTAAGGTTTCTTCCACCCCCCCCCCCCTTTTTAATAAAAGAGAGAAAGCCCAGAGGAGCAACACAGGTTGAACAGGCAGGTAGCTGCAAGGTAAACCTTGTGCCCCGGTTTTGTTTCATGGTTCTGAGCACTGGAATCTCTGTCTGCAGAAGGCCACTTCTGCTGCTGTGCACATTCACTTCTTCAGAGTTTGGATTTTCAGGAGAACTAGGAATTGCGTCATGTTCTAGTAAGTTGAACTTCAGTGATTGAAAATAATAAAAAAAAATTTGCTTACTCTAATAGTTTGTACCTAAGGACATTTACAGGTGCAGCTTCATAGAACAAGTGTCTAAAAAGTTAAAATGACATTTTCAGTGTGTGATTCATCATTTGTGCCACTTTGAGTTTGGCTTTAAAAGTGAAATAAGGGACTGGAGAGATGGGTCAGCAGCTAAGAGCACCGGCTGCTCTTCTTGAGGACATGAGTTCAGTTCCCAGCACCCACACCATGACTTACAAACATCTGTAACACCAGTTCCAGGGGATCTGATGCCCTCTTCTGTCCTCCAAGGGCAACACACACACACACACACACACACACACACACCCCACACGTGTACATGTGTACGCTAGGTGCACACACACATACTGTGCAGACCAACACACACATGAAATAAAAATCTTTTTTTGTAAAGTGAAATAAAAACGATAATGTTTTTCTCTCTTTCCCAGACAGATCTTGATTATGTTCACAGCGTTGTAGCGAACCTGGAGAAAGAGTAAGTTTTCCAAAGCACAGAAATGGAAATATTTTCATTACTATTATCTTTGGCTCCTTTCTAATTCACTTCTCTGTTCACCCATGTCAGTAGCCCTTATATTCTTATTAAGTAGCTGTATACAAAACCCAGTGTCTGGTGGGTAAACTGCTAACTCCACTATGGGAAAAATTGAGTAGCATCTGCATAGAATACTACCAGCTAGTTATCTTTACTCCTGGAAGAGGAGGGAGGGAGGGAGGGAGGGAGGGAGGGAGTCAGAGTTGTACAGAACTGTTTGAATCCCCACCCCAAATTTGTTGTCAGGACAGGTGTTAAAACTGAGCCATATCCAAGCATGTTTTTCTGTTCTACCAACATTGGGCCCCGGTTTACGGTAGGCAGGGGACAGATGTGGCGCTTAGGGAGTTTCAGGCATTGGCATGTTTATAGTATTCACTTGTCAGTTTTAAAGTTAGACCTGACAGGTTTCTTCTGTGAATTTTATCTGGTTTTACTCCTAAAGGGCACGTTTTCTACTTGACAAGGAAGGCTTAGGAAGTTGGAGAGAGAGCCCAGTGGCTAAAGGTGCTTGCTCATCCTGCAGGTGACCTAACTGTCAGTTCCTATAATCTAGGCTTGGGGAGTTCTGTCACCTCTTTCCCACCCCCAAGTCCCCACCCACATATACACCTAATTAAAAATAATACAAATCTTTTTAAAAAGACTTAAAAGCAGGAGTTACTTGCTAACTCCATACTTAAAGTAATTTCTCCTTCTTAATCAAAATATGAAAGCTGGAGATTTAATAAACTACTGTGTATACTTCAGGGTCAAGTTGTGTGCATTAAAATTTTTCTCAGGTGTAGCTGAGCGGTGGTGGCACATGCCTTTAAACCCAGCACTTGGGAGGCAGAGGCAGATGGATCTCTGTGAGTTCAAAGGCAGCCTGATCTACAGAGCTAGTTCCAGAACAGGCTCCAAAGCTGCAGAGAAACCCTGTCTCGAAAAAACAAAACAAAACAAAACAAAACAAATTCTCACTTGCTACATTCTTGGCAGTCTGTAGAAAGAAGCTGGTATAGACAATCCCCTTAAAGAAGCAGGGAATGAAGACTGATTGGCCTTCCCATCGACCTTGGGGGCAGTTCTGCAGGCTCCTTAGAAAAGCAGGGAAACCAAGGCTAGAAAATGAGTGCAGTACGTACCCCTGGCATTTGCACAGAGACCCACCTTATAGAGTATTGAGTGAAGATTTACAAGTATGAGACAAGGAGGTGAACGAAAAAGGAACCACAATTAGTGAAAACTGATTCAAGAGCCTCAGAAAGGGCTTCTCAGTCCAGCACCGCTGATAGGTGAGGTGATCTTGGTTGAAGGATGTGTAGCAGAATCCTTGGCTCTGTCCGTTAGATGTCAGAGAATCGCCTCTAGGCCCCACTGAATGTTCCCAGGAGGGATAAAGTTGCTATCAGTTAAAAAGCCCTGGTTTGGAATGATACAGAGCCTGAAGCCTACAGCTAAAGCTTCCAGAATATTGAAGAACTTTGTCTTTAAATTTGAAAATAGTCACATTTATTGATTTGTGTGTATATGCATACACATGCTATAATCAGAGGAACTTTTGCAGTTGTCTCTCCTACTGTGTGGGTCCCTGGGATTGAACCCACTCCTTCAGGCTTGAGGGGCAAACACCTTTGTGACTGAACCACCCTACTAGCCCAGAAAAAATGGGAGAACTTCAAATTTTCATGAATAATATGTTTTGGGTGAGCATACAGATTTGTTTGTTTGCTTTTTTTCTTCGGTCCCCCTCTTTCTGTGGGACTTTGATGTGCTTAGATTTAAAAACGGATCACTTTGAAGACGGCAGTGCCCGCAGTTTTCCCAGGATTGCTCTGCTGCATCTCACCGTTTCTCCTCCGACATTTTGCTGTCTTTAAAAAGCATGGCCAAAAAAAAAAGAGGAAACTCAAAACTTGTAGAGAAATTTGTATTTTCTGCTCAGTGGTGAGCTGACTGCATTTAGCACACTATATCTGTCTTCTCATACTCTGCGATCCTGCTTAGCCATGCGTTTTATGTTAACTGCAATAAGTTGAGCATTAAGACAAATGAAATCCCACAGAGCTAAAATAATACCGCTAACCTTTCTCTTGGTAGATTTTCTAAAGAAATTAGTTCTGGCCTGCTGGAAATAATCTCCCCTCCTGAAAGCTATTACCCTGACTTGACAAACCTGAAGGAGACGTTTGGAGACTCCAAGGAAAGAGTAAGGTGAGCAGGGGCTTTCTTGGTTAGAAGATGGCAAGATATCCTAGGCCATCTTGTTCAGCAAGACAGAGATTCTAAGCACTTTTCTTAGCTGAACTGAGCTTGGGGTGACTGTTCATTGTGCTCAGCATTAGTGTGTTTCTGTTAGCCACTAGGAATTCACCAAAAAGATTACTATTGTAGACCTAAGTGTGTTTTACAGACATTAATACATAGTATTAGTTTCTGTTTGCATTTAATGTGCATTATCTATCTCTGTCCATATTCACTTCACAGTTCTAGACATAGCCTCATATCTATTTCTTAAAGTAGACTTCGCCAAGCACTAATTCAAGGAGATAGTAAGATATTACTGAAGCAAAGGGTTGTGGATAAGGCAGTCTAGAAAATGCTGGGTTGTAGCTCAAAAGTAAAGCATTAGCCAAGCACGCATGGAACCATGGGTTCCGTGTCCAGCAATATGGTGGTGGGTATTTTAGCATCTTTTATGCTGAACTCTCTCTAGAAGGGAATGTGCAGTCTACAGTGATGTCCAAATTCTCTTCACTGGAGAGCCTTCTGTGCACGGGGTAGCTGGAGGGTTAGTCTTGTCTTAGGAGTACATGGTGAGCAAGGCTTCATTGTAGGAAGCCACCCTTAGACTGTCTCTTGAGTGTGTGAGGTTTGTCTGTGTGTGTTCACACATAATCTGAGTTTGCTAATTTTGAGTCTGATTCCTCACTTACTCTGAAACTGTTTGTTTCAGATGGAGAACCAAGCAAAACCTGGATTATTGTTTTCTAATGATGTATGCTCAGGAGAAGGGCATCTATTACATTCAGGTAAGCGCCGGGCTTTTTACAGGTATTTTTGCTGTTGTTTCTTTTGTGATGTTTAAGATTGGGCCTTTAATTTGCTATGTAGGCCAGATTGGTCTTGAACTCACAGAAATCCACCTGCCTCTGCTTCCTTGGTGCTGGGATTGAAGGTGTGTGGCATCACAGCACGTCATTCTCACAAGTTAAAGAAGTGTTAAAGAGACATTAGCGCAGACCTTTCTCAGTCTTTTTATTTGGTGGTTTTGACTCCTCCTTCTCCTCTTCCTCCTCTTCTTCAATAGATTTACTAAAATATAAAAAGAAATACACTTAGCTTATAAAAGATTTGAAATGTAAAAGTCAGAATAGATTTTGTTTCATATTTATTTTATAAAGATGACCACATTCTATGAACACATTCTACATATAGTTTAACGAAGTTTGGGTTCAGAGGTCTATGTCAGAATTTTCATGTGGTTCTGAAAGTTGAGATTAGAGTAAAGGTAGATTAAAAAGCATCTGTTCATTTCTGGAAGTTTCTTGTATGTGTGAGTGTGTATGTTGTGTATGTGTGTGGGGTAAATGTGTGTACTTTCTTGTAGGGGCTAGAGGTCAGTGCTGGGGCTCTTCCTCAGGTAATCTGTAATCTTTACTTTTTTTTTTTGAGGTCGAGTCTCTCACTGAACCTGGAACTTAGCACTAAAACTAAACTGGCTGACTAGCAAGCCCCAGAGTCTTGGCTCAGTGCTGGGATTTCAGGCGGGCACTGCCACAACTGGCTTTTTGTCATGGGTGTTGGGGCTTAGACTCAGGGTAGTTCTGCCTGCTCTGCAAGTTGGCCTCAAACTTGGGGTTTTCCTGCCTTTGAGTGCTGGGGTTGCAAGCGTGCAGCACCTTGGTTTTTTTTTTTTTTTTTGATAGTCCGCCTGGGATAAGTCTTTTACTTCCTTATGCTATTCCTGAATGTTTTAGCCTTTTTCGCAGTCTACAGAATGAGATTAAAATGGGTTGGGGGCATTGGCTGTTGTTAGTGGGTAGAAATGATGATGTGTTGTTGTTGTTTTTTTTTAATCTTGCAGCTTTGCTGAAACATTTATTATTTGCAGTAGGTTTTTTTTTTTTGTGTGTGTGTGTGTGTGTATGGATTTGTATAAGACCTGTCATGGGGAAACTTGAGGACATGGGGGGTGGCAATGGCATCTTGGATGTGACACCAGCATCGTGATCTACAAATTGACCTGAGCACAGTGGCACAAACTCATCATCCCAGGATTAGGAGGAAAGAGGATCACTGACCTGAGGCCAGCCTGGACTAAAATAAGTTTCAGGGGAGCCTGGGCTGTACGGTGAAGCCACGTCTCAAGAGGGAGTGCACGTACACGTTTTTGTGGGCATCAAAAGAAACAACATGGTGCGACGGAAAATGCAGAGATGCAGCTTCTTTTCCTCCGGCTTTGGGTGCTTTTGACTCTTGGGCGTCTGATGGCTTCAGTTGGGATTCCCAGAGTTTTTCTGATTAATGGGGATCCCTGTCTGTTTGTGATCCCAGAGGGAAGCTTTTGATTCCATCTCGGGAATGCTGGCCTCACTGACTGCATTTGAAGGAATTCTCTCTGTGTCAGATTTTAGGGCCAATCTGAGGAAAATCAGACTTGATTGCATCTTTAATGTCACCCAGAATGCTTCAGTGAAGTTCTCTGATCCTGGGCTTCCCACTTTGCTGTACAAGGAAGTTAAGGAAAAGTTTGTTGGTGTCATCATCTTAGACAGCATCTTACGTAGCCCAGACTGGCCCTGCGCTTAGCATATAGCCAAGGATGATCTGCTACCTAAATCCCTCTGCCTGCACACCCCAAGTGTTGGCATTATGCCATATGCTGCCATACTGTTTCAGGTGGTGGGGATCAAACCCAGAGTTTCATGCGTGCTAGACAAGCACTTGGCCAACTGAGCTACATCCCCAGCCCTTCAAGAAGGTTTTCTGTTTTGTTTTCATCTTCGATTCCCTTACTTGTTAGTGTCATGCTTAAATGTATTTGTCTGCAACTCAGTCTCAGTGAGTTGCATCTTTCTAGGACCTCATTATTTCTTCTAGTTAGTCCAGTTCGTTAGCACACACCTAACACCGTAGAAGCCTCTCCTAATGCATAGTCCTGGTACTTCTGTGACGTCAGTTTTAATGTCCTCTCTTTTCCTGTGTTACTCAGACTAAAGTTTTGTCAGTTTTGCTGATCATTGCAGAAACATCCTTGCTTGCTTTTGTTTCCACTGATTTTTTTATAGTCATGCATTTTGATTTCCTTCTTGATTTTCTTTGTGTTATGGTTATAGTAACTTGAAACATGGCTATCGTTACAGCAGTTTGTCTAAAACAGATCACTTAATTTCAAGCCATATGAGTTACTGACTTTATATCTGCTCCTTCTTCCTACTTGGTTTTTGACGACACAAATTGCCTCTCTAAGATTGTACGGCTCACATTCTAGGCTGACCTTGAACTTGCTGTGCTGGGATTACACAGTAGAGTGTACCACTGTACCTGGTCTAGATGTGCTGAGGCTCAAACTCAGGCTTTGTGGGAGCCGGAAGAGCACTGCCTCAACCGAGCAACACCCAGGTCCCCTGCTGCTTCTCACATTGCATATCCATGGAGTTAATGTGTAATTACTTTTGTGCTTTGGATTATACCAGATTTGGAAGAGATCAAGGTTCCTGTTAGCTTCATGGATCTGCAGGTTCCTTGGACTGTCTTCATATTTCCCTTTTTGTCCTTTGAAACCATTCGTATTGAAAACTGTCTTTGCTTACGCTTTCTTCTGCCTGGCCAGGTCTGCTGTGAAGTTTCCCATTCAGGTTTTGTGTTCTTTGGTTCCTGTTTCTAGCTGGTTCTCCTCCGTAGTTTCAGTCTCTTTGTTACTGTTCTCATTTAGCTCTTGGAACATTTCATTTACACATTCTTACATATCTCATTGCCCACTGTTTTTGGTAGCCTCACTGCCGGGTCATCTTTGTTGTTACTGTTGGGATTTTGGTATCTGAAAATCAGCCATCCTCAACAGCCCACCCCGCCCTTGTGGTCTGGTGCTGTACCAGCAGAGCTTCTGGAGCCCTGTAAATTAAAATAATTATTTTCTTCTTTATGCATATGAGTATTTTGCATTCATGTATGTATATGCACTGCATAAGTGCTGTTACCAGCTGAGGTCAGAAGTGGCTGTCGAGCCCCCTGGAACTGGAGTTATGGATGGCTGTGAGCCAACTTGTGGGTTCTGGGAACTGAACCTGGCTCCTCTGGAAGAGTGGCAAATGTGTTAAACCACTGATCCATCTCTGTAGTTCCCAGAGCCTCTTTTAAAAACAGTACTTTTGTTAATTCTTTTAGTTTCTTGCACTGTATTTTGAATATACTCGCTGCCCCCTACCTTCACTCATTTACCATTTCCACCTACCCATCTCTGAGTTTCCTTTTCAAACTCACCACGTTCAGTTTGTGCTGCCCAGCTAGTCTTGGGAGTGGGGCCTGCCCTGGTGTGTGTCAACCTACCAGGGGTCACATCATTATAGGAGGTGACTCTCCCTCTCTTGGCAGCTAGAGAATGCCAATAGCTCCTCAGCTAGTGGTGATGGGAGTGTGTGTCATGCCTACCTTCCCCCTTTATGCAGGTTTTATGTCTAGGAGGCACTTACACAGGTCTTGTCCATGTTGTTACAATCACTACTGCTTGGGTCCCCTCTTTCTGGACTTGTGGGTGTAACCCAGGTGTGATTTGCTGGTTTCTACTCTGGTGTACACAACTCCACTCTTAGAGTGTGTGAGGGAATATTGTACATCCCTGTGTTGTCCAGCTGGGGCATTATTTAGTGCTTGTATATGATACTGCAGCCTCTGGCCTTTGTTATTGGCCTCTGTTGGGTGCCTGCCCTGTTCCATCTATACTTTGATTAAAATAAGACAGAAATGACATTATCAGGATGCATGCCAGAAGGGCAGAGGCTCCAGGGATTCATAACTAATTTCTCTGCTAAGGGAGAAGTCAGGAATTGGAGAACCATGCCCAAAAGAGTGGCTTTAGCTATTGAATGATCTGATTTTAAAGCCATATTTCTGTGGGTGAAGGGGGCCTGGAGTTTGCTATTCACTATCTTCCTGATGTCCAAAATCTCTAACAAGGTCATACAAACACATTGCCTCATGACCAGTTTTTTTTTTGTCCCAACATAATATCAAAAGCCTTAATTATTGGTAAATGGAAATTGGTATTGTTTTTAGTCTTTTCTTGAAATAATATTGTTTTTATATCATTCCCTTATTGTTGATTATTTGGGCTGTACCTAAATTTTCAGCTCTACAAAGGTTGATGAGTTTTTCTAAAAGTGGTATATTTCCCCAAAGCTTGTTCCTCAGGAAATAGAATTGCTTTATATTCTGCTCTTCAGAGTTGGGCAGCATGAGAATCCTATCAAGGAGCTCATTGTCATCTGTCTACAGAGTATTAGTAGGGGAAACACACTAGCTTCAGAAGCCCACAGAGTATGCTGGCTTGAAATGTTTGTAAAGCAAAAGGGGTCACCTAGGGAAATCCCAAGAAAACAGAGCTAAGGATGGTGGTGGTGGGGGGGGAATCAAAGGACTTTATCTCACACTTTCCTAAGGCTGTGGCTTCATGGTTGCAAACATGGGGTTTTCATATCCACAGCTTCTAAAGGATGTCTGTGGGTGGGAGGCAGCCCAGTGGGAGAGAATACTGGCCAGTGTGCATGCCACCCTGTGTTCAGTTCCCAGCATTGGAAAAAGAGTAGAACGAGGTCAGTTGTATCATCGGGTTTGCTTATGCTTAAAGAGAAAAAGGAAATACCTTTTTCCTTATGCCTGGACTTGGGATGAAGTTTAGAGTGGCAATGTTATTCCATGTCTTTAAACGCCATATTTCCCCACATTAAATTATGCCAAGGTTCTTATCATGGGTGACTCAGAGCTCTGATGCCCATTCACAGTCATTTCCTTCACTCAGTACGACATTGAACCTTCAGATTTCCACTCAAGTGTCATGTTTTTGTGAACATTTCCTGCCTCAGTGTTCCCAAATCACTTTGCATATCCCATTAATGATGCAGGCAAGCGTGGGGGATAGTTCAGTGACCTGGAACTCTGCTTGGTTTGGGTTGTACTTCCTCTTCTAGTAGTAATGTACTCGACAGCCTGAGACAGCTGCACCAGGCTGTCTTTCTTAACCCTGCACCCAGAAACCTGTTAGGAGCCCAACCTGCTTGAGCTGTATACACACCCACTAGGAACGATGGAGTAAGTTTCTTCTCCTCTTCAACAGATTTTGTTCATTCATACTCCAGATGGAAAGGCCGATCTAGCCTGAACTGGTTTGGGGTGCATCTGCAGCAGTAAGGCAAAACCGCGTCCCTAAGTAAACTTGTAGGGAGAGTCCCCTCTTTACTATCGCCTGTGCATAATTGGGCATGTACATGATTAAAATCAGACACATTCTGAGACAGGACATGCACAGTAGAGAAATGACTGTTTGCCTTAATCTGTCGATCAAAACAGGGAATTACCCTTGCTATCCCCTTTAGCAATCAGATTTCTCTTTCTCTTGAACCCCATAAAGGCAGCCCCAGATAGTGACTGGAGTTCTTGGGTATCTTCACTCATGTGGTCCACTGCCGTTCTTGGCAGTGTGTCTCTGATCTGTACTTAAAGTTTCTTTGATTCTTTGTTTAAAAAAAAAAGTAGGGGGGGGGAGTGTTGCAAGTGACTTGGAGTGTGAAGATCATCTTCAGGAACGCTGCCAGGTGCTTCTGGTCACATCTTGTCCTCACTGTATCACACCCCACATGGAATCCAATGCCCCTTCTCACTTCCACAGGCTCCTGCACACACGTGATGCCCTTAAACTCAGTCAGAGAAACATACATACACACAGAAATATAAAGGGGCTTTCTAGGGATGTGGCTCAGGGATGGAACCCTTGCCTAGCTTGAGCTAAGCCCTGGGTTCTATTCCCAGGGAGTGGGATGGAGGGAGAAGGGGAAAGAGAGGGGAGAAGGAGAGAGAAAGAGAGAGAGAGAGAGAGGTACATAGGAGTCTGATTCAGACAGAATACAGAAGGCATCAGATGGATGCATACTCAGTCTTCATGTTGGTACTCTCAGGTACCCAGGTGGAAGGTAGGTGAGCGAGGCACTGGCTTCTCTTTGACCTCTGACCCAGGTAGTTGACCCACAGAGTATATTTCTTGTTTTTATATTTTAATTGGCTTTAACAGTTTTCTTGGTTTTCTGAGAGTATGTTGAGTTTTTCTGTAATAATGCCGTTATCCTCTTTTTGCTTTTTGTCTTATTAAATATGATTGTTCAATTTTTTCTAGCTTGAAGATGATATTATTGTGAAACAAAACTATTTTAATACTATAAAAAATTTTGCACTTCAACTCTCTTCTGAAGAATGGATGATTCTAGAGTTTTCTCAGCTTGGCTTCATTGGTAAGAAAAGTACTTGATTCATCTTTGTTATAAAACAGCCGAGTCTCAGAATCTTAAACCAGTTGCTTTTTTTTTTTAACCAGAAAAAGTTATCCTTTTTTTTTTTTTTTCAGAGAAATTGATTGGTGTTGAGAAAATTAAACTTTGGTAAATCTCCGTATGCCAAAAGATGCACATAAACTCATGTAGACTCTGAGTCTAAGGTTAGCATGTCCTCTAGAGAGCTCCACAGTGGCCACCATGGTGCTGGGAACGTATTCCATTTCCTTTGTGCTTATGACTGGGGTTCATCCCCAAAGCACGGCACTGCTTAGGGGGACTGTAACATGCAGCCCTTGTTCACTGATTACTTTTTGGTCACTTCTTTCTTTCATGAACTATTTGGGGGGCTTATTTTAATGCCTTTGGGGAATAGTGTCCCTAAAATAGCCAGTGAGAAAGAATGTTTGAAGTTGGATGGATGAAGGAAATTTACAGGGTTTAAAAACAACCTCTCCAGCCAGGCGTGATGGTGAACATCTGAAACACTTGCTATCCCTGCATTTGAGAGTCTGTCACAGGGGGATCTCAAATCTAAGGCCAGGCTGGGCAGCATAGTGAAATTTGACTGAAGAATGCAAGGACCGGGGTGCAGCTTAGTGGTAGACCTCTTGCCGAGTATGAATGAGACCTTGGGTTCAAGCCAACCCTTTAAACAGTGAAGGCTTGGTCTCTGACCTTGTCATTTAACTTGAAACTTGTTTTAAGACGCAGAAAATAAAAGGTTATCAAAGTCTCAGCGACAACAGAAGTAGTTAGCCTTTCCTCACCAACTCCTCCTGCCCTTTCGCCCCTGCTCCTGCTCTGTCTCATCTTTTTGTATATATTGATTTAGGTCTCTCCCTCTTTCCCTCATGCATGTGCTAGGCAGTGCTCTATCCCTGAGCTCTATGCCCAGGCCCACATACTTTTTTAAAATGCAAATCTCTCAAATTCCTTTATTTATTGGAACAGTCTTACTAAGATAGGAAAAAAAATAATCTGACATCAGATTATGAACCCTTTAGCAACACTGTGTGTTAAATTGTTGTTAACAGTAGGAGTCGGGGACTTCTGTTTCTACACAGTGACAAGTCCAGAGAATTTTAGCTAAAGTGATACTGTCCTTGATGATGAGAGGAAAACCTCAATGTATTTAGTGCATAGAAGTCACTTCTGCAGGCATCTCGGAGATTGGTTCTTTGTGACAGCTGTTGACTGGGAATGTCTTTTCAGGAAAAATGTTTCAAGCGCCAGACCTTACTCTGATTGTGGAGTTCATCTTTATGTTTTATAAGGAGAAACCCATTGACTGGCTCTTGGACCACATTCTCTGGGTGAAAGTCTGCAACCCTGAAAAAGATGCCGTGAGTTAATTTTTCCATGCTGTCCAGGGGAGAATTTTTCTTTTCTTTTCAAGATAGGATCTCACTATGTAGCCCCATGTTGAAGATCCTTCTACCTCAGCTGCCTGAGTACCTGGATTACAGGCATGTCCTACAGTGCCTGGAAGTTTCTTCTCTATGTTTCCTTTATGCAAATAACTTTGAGTGAAGTAGATGTTGGTGACAAGTTAAATAAGGCCATGGCAGGGAAACTGTTTTCTCTGCTCTTCATGTGCTCGGCTTCATTCTGAAGCCAATTCTAAGTTCCAGTGTTAGAAAGGTGTGTGCATGGGGTGGAGGAGGAATACAATGATAGAGTGCTTTAAACAGCATTCATAAAGGTTTCAGTCTTCAGTCATGGCAATGTATGTGTGTGCATATATAATGCACTTTTTAGTACTAGAAAATCCCTCAACCTCCCTGTTTCTAAGCATTGACTCCTCTGTGTATGGCTTAGAAACACTGGTGGGGTCTTGAGGCTTGCTAGCCTGTTAGTATCGGCTATCGATAGACAGCAGACCGACTTGTGAAGGGTGTGCTGTTTTCTTTCTGTTCTGCCTATTGTCTTTTACTTTTTTCCCCTTAAATTCTTTTTGAGACAGTCTCCGACCCCAGTACACCTGAACGTGTTAATAGCAGTGATGCCATTTGCCAGCTCACGGGGCTCTTCAGTGTCTGCCTTGCACTTTATTATTGAATAATAAAACCAGATTCTTTTAAATGTCTAGAAACATTGTGACAGACAGAAGGCAAATCTACGAATCCGCTTCCGACCGTCCCTCTTCCAGCACGTGGGTCTGCATTCCTCACTGTCCGGGAAAATTCAGAAACTCACGGTTGGTGATTTAACATAGCCTTTCCTAGCTGTCCAGGTTGCTGTCTCGTGTGTAGCTGAGCCGTGTTACATAACGACACACACATGTCCTCCTAGGATAAAGATTATATGAAACCATTGCTTCTCAAGATCCATGTGAACCCACCCGCAGAGGTCTCCACTTCCATGAAGGTGTACCAAGGACATACATTGGAGAAGACCTACATGGGCGAGGACTTCTTCTGGGCCATCACCCCCACAGCTGGAGACTACATCTTGTTCAAATTCGACAAACCAGTCAATGTAGAAAGGTCAGTGACAGTGGAATTCTGTTTTGTCTTAGAATCCAGACCTTCTGCTTGGAATATGCTCCCTTTTGTGTGCTTGGTGTACAGTAGGCTGAAAAGGGGTGGTGAGTTACAAAAGTTTTGGTTATAAATTAACTTCATACAGCTGAGTATACTGCACTGTGATAAAGTGTTGTATTTGTGTGGAAAATGTTGCAAACAGGTCAGGCTGTGGTCACTTTGTGTTTATTGAATGTTAAGCAGCAAGGAAGGGGGCTTCTGGCAGGGATAACACTGCTTGGGGCTATGTCCTTCAGTCTTAAATTTTCCACAGCACTTTTGAGTCAGCGAGGTGGTTGCAGGTTCTGGTGAGGTTATCCTGAGCTCACTCTGGGGTGAGGATGTGTTCTTGAATCTTGTACACCGAAGTCTAACACATGTTTTCATTCTTTGGTATGTGTTTCTAGTTATTTGTTCCATAGTGGCAATCAGGAACACCCAGGAGACATCCTGCTCAACACAACCGTGGAGGTTCTGCCTCTTAAGGTATGGCTGCTGCTACTCCTGATGGTCTAGTCTCATTTTTGTTACTGTGCTAAAAATGCCCTGACAGAAAGCAATTTAGGGAAGAGAGAGGCTAATTTTAGCTTACAATTCCAGATTATAGGTCGTCATTGTGGGGAAGTCAGGCAGGAATTCTAAATATCAAGTTACATCAAATCCACAGTCAAGAGCAGAGAGCAGTGAGTGCTTGTTTGTGCTCAGCTCAGTTTCTCCTCTCTCACATGGTTCAGGAACCTCTGCCTAGGGAATGGTTCTGCCCCCCGTGGGCTGGGTCTTCCCAAACCAATTAAGATGACTTCCTATAGATATGCTCACAGGCCAGACCAGTGTAGATAGCCCCTCACTGAGGCTTTCTTTCTGCTCATCTCTAGTTGTGCCAAGTTGACAAAGCCAGTTGTCACAATGGATACATAGAGGTTGTTCTTATTTATGAGGCTAACAAAAATTCTCGTGAGATGTAAGACTTCAATGGTGGGTGGTATTACTAGGTTTTTTAAAATGTTGAATACCTGATATTAATGTCCCCATTTGTTTCATCAATACTCTTCATTTTGCTTTCTCCTGGAAAAATAATATGGTTGTTTATATTAGGAAAAGGGTCCATATTTTTACCACAGTTGTTTACTTTGTATATTTTGAGCCCCATGATGCCAACTGAATATCTGAGTGCCTGATGGGGCATGGTTAATTCACTGGTCTGTAAGAAATGCCTAGATTTTATTCAAGTTAACATGCAGTCTTCATTTTCTAACCATTGGTATACTTGCAGGCTGGGAGAGTGGTTAAAGTTTTACTAACAAATTTTCAGAATTCTCAACTGAGATGCCATTTTCTTTCATAACTCTGCCACAAAAGCAACTTTTATATACAAAGTTAAATTTGTTTTAAACAGGCCTAATTACCCATAATTGCTGCTTTTATTTTATTTTAGAGCGACAATTTGGAAATCAGCAAAGAAACCAAAGATAAACGATTAGAAGATGGCTATTTCAGAATAGGTAATGTCTCCTTAGTAACACGCCCCTTATTTCCTGAACTGACTCCTAAAGTCATTTCAAATTCTTGTCTTACATTTTAAGCTGCTTGGCAATTATAGACAGTCACCAGTGTGCTCAGATTGTTCCTTCTATTCCGTTGACCTGATGGTTTCAAATCCCGGGTGGGTTCCCTGGCTTGTCAGCTTTCTCAGTTACCAATGTGGTGCTGTATCTCAGTGGCAACGAGTTCACCTTCCCTGTGTCTTTCTGTCCTCCCTTCAGGGTGTGCCTTCTATGTTGTGATGCTGTCTGCCTGACAGCAGCAGCCGGGGAAGCCTTGGAGGGTGTTAGGGAGAGTAGATAGAATCAGGGTTCAGCTAGGTGTCTAATTGGGAAAACCAAGAAAATAGCCTGTCTGCGGCCAGAATTTTCTCAGACTTGTTGCTACTTAATTCCAAAAGCATGGCTGAAAGGAGCAGCTGGCCTACAGGCAATCACTGAACCCCTGCTGGGTGTGGTTTGGAGTGGGTATGAAGAGTTTCCTGTGCTGTGGTCATAGGAAAGAGATGCTAGATTTATTTCAGTGGGTTAAAGAGCAGAAGAGCCTTTGGTAGAGAAGCAGAACCTTGGAAAGGACCACAGACCAGTGTGTGGAAGGAATAGGGCCATGTCCAGGGACCTCTGGCGTCCCTTTCGGTGTATGGGATTCTGTGGTACAGATTAGCCCATTCCTGAGCATGCACAGTTTAGGAGTAGTCTTGAGCATGCTCAGTTACGGATGTGGAACATTTGCTCAGAAGATTTACATGATGGACAGGAATGCCTTTGGCATGTTCAGCTTGCCCTCCTAAGTTTTGGTTGTATGGCACATTCCTCCTCCAATTTTCTCCTCCTATCATCTCATACTTATCTATTTAATCTAATACTTACTGACTTGAACTCTGAGGGAAAGGAAGAAAAGAAGGAAGGAAGAAAGGAGGGGGAAAAGAAAGAAGAGGAAAAGGAGAAAAGAAAAAGTTGCTTCAGGGAAGTTTCATAGTTGACTCTGGACAATAGTGGTAGGTGTTATAGGCATAGTTATTGCTGATGGCCGACTGGGGAAACTCAGGACTCTTTTAAGCTAATATGATACCTAAGCTCATTTCTTTAGGAAAATAAGCAGCAAATAGTATAATCAGCTTCTTGAAAAGACATGTACAGAGAGGGAGAGGGGATACTCCTTCCAAGCCAGAAGTACAGTGGCAGCAGAGATTTGGAGATGCTTCAATGCAAATAAAGAATTGCTTTATTTCAGAATCAAATTAGCTGCATGAGAGACTTCTTCCTCTAACTGGAAGTGATTCATCTACTGTGTAATAATATGGTGGGAAGTGAATATCAAGGCAAAAAGCTTAGTAGAATAAATATGTAAATAACCTCCAGCTGATGAGTATGCCCTACTGAAATCATATGTGTGTGGCCCTGTGATGTAGCTCAGTTGGTAAGGGAAGGGCACTTGCCGCCAAGCCTGATGACTTATGTTCAATTCTCTAGACCCACACGGTGGAAGGAGAGAACCAACTCCTAAAAGTTGTTTTCATACACATACTGTGGTTTGCACATCCATACAAACACAAACACAAACGTGACATGTTTGTGGATTGATAATGGTGCTTGGTGTGACCTGGGCTGTCTAAGGGATGTTTCGAGGATGAAGGCCAGAAAATATCTATCACCCAATAGGTCAGCCATGACAGACATTTGCAGTGAGTTCCAATGGGGAGGGAAAAACTAACTCTGAACTTCTTGTTTAAGTGGAATGCTGCCCAAGAATAAGGAATTGCATTCATCCCCACAGCATGTCCACAATCCAGAATACATACATTAATTTATGTATATTGAATTTCATCCATAAAAATGAGGCAGATCTTCTCTGTTTAGCATCTTCACTTGTCCTTGTGACCCACAAAGAATGACCTTCATTGAAAAGTTTGTTACCCTCTGGCTTAGAGAACTTTGTCTTTTTCCTCCCTCCCTCCCTCCCTCCCTCCCTCCCTCCCTCCCTCCCTCCCTCCCTACCTCCTTCCCTCTCTCCCTCTTTCCCTTCCCTCCCTTTCTTCTTCCCTCCCTTTCTTCTTCCCTCCCTCTCTTCTTCCTTCCTCCCTTCCTTCTTTCATTGTCATTTTCCTTACATCATTTTTTATTTTTAAGGACATTATCCTTATAGCAAGAGATGATAGACATGGGACACATTGCCTTCTGTGAAAGGTCTCGCTTCTTTCTGTAGAGGGCCTTTTCTGCTTGCCTTCTTTGTAGAAGATGAGTCTCATTTTTAATTACACATATTTATGTTTGTGTATGTGCACACATGCACCGAAGCCAGTGTTTGTGGAGGTCACAGGAAATCTTGCGGAAGTCAGCTTTCTCCATCCTGTGAGTTTCAGGGCTTGAACTCGGTTTATTAGGCTTGGTAACAAGTGCCTTCATCCTCTGAGTGAGGTGTCACTGACCCAAATAACGGGTGTTGTTATGATATATTCAGACATGTGTCTAATGTCCTTTGACTTTGACTCCATTACTGCCTCTTTCTGCCTTCCACTGGTCCCATTGCTCGTCCCAAGTAGAGTTTTCTATATTTGTGTCTTATTTTAAATATAGATCCTGTATATAAAAGAAGAATGCAATATATATCTTTGGGTGTCTCTGTTGTATATTTAGATTCTTATGAGTATGTGCCCAGAAGGCTTATATAGTAATTCTTCTCTTATACAGATAATTCCGCTTATATAGTTGCACCTACTTATATTACTTCACCAATATTTAGGGCTCCCTTCTCCCCAGCATCCTGTGCAGAATTGTTTTCTTGATGATAGCCTTTGTGACTGGGGTGAGATGGACTTCCAGTGTTGTTCAAAATTTTTCTTTTAAAGATTTTTTTGGTTGTTTTTTTGGTTTTGTTTTTGTGTTTTGAGACAGGATAGCCCTGACTGTCCTGGAACTTACTCTGTAGACCAAGCTGGCCTCAAATTCAGAGCTCTACCTGCCTCTGCTTCCTGAGTTCTCAGATTAAAGGTGTGTGCCACCATCATCCGGCAACTCCTTTAAAGATTTATGTTTCCTTTTGTATGTATCTTTTGTATGTATATGAGTGTTTTCTTTCATGTATGTATATGTACCATGTGCATACATGGTACCCGTGGAAGTCAGAGGAGAGCATTGGTTCCTCTGGGATTAGAATTATGGATGTTTGTGAGTCATCCTGTGAGTACTGGAAATTGAATCCAGGAACTCTGCCAGAGCAAAAAGTGTTCTTAACCACTGAGTCCTCTCTCGGTCCCCTTACTGTAGTTTTATGTTTTCCTGGTGGCTAAGGAATATTGGGTTGAACGTTTTTTATGTACTTATTGGTCGATTGTTGAACAATTACTCCATCAAATTTACTTGCCATTAATTGAATTATTTGGGTTTTGGTGATTTTTTGTTTTGTTTTCTGTATATATTCTGAATAGTAACAACTTATCAGATGTATTAGTCTCTCATTTCAATGGAGTTGTGTATGGGAATTATATAGAGCAGGCAGCACGTCGAAGTTTCTTCTCAGTGGAGTCTTGGGAAGATATACATGGACAGAGCTTCTGCCCTAGCCCAGCCTCAGAGTACTTGAAATGGTGAAGCTCTTTATGACCAATTTGACCTTCGGGGCAGCAACTGATTGCTGTTACAAAATGGATTTGGTCAGGAAAGGTTTGAGTAGAGTGTCAACTTGCTGACATCCTGTAGGTTATATACTGTTGATGTAAAAACATACATGTCTTCACCATGCTTATTTGTTTACAGTGGGCAGAAGTGTACCCCTGCTTTAAAATAGGCTGCCTCTAAGGTCTTCAAGAGTACATCAGTTCATGGGACTTTGAAAGCTGAATAAAAGCAGATCAGTGGGTTTAACTTGTTTATTTCCTGTCTAAAGATATCTAGAAATATTTTGCCTTTGGTGGTGCTTTATGCTCATGTCTGACTCTCCAGTAGGTCTTTAACAATTACTTTCTGTTTTGAAGGAAAATTTGAGTATGGTGTTGCAGAGGGAATCGTGGACCCTAGTCTAAATCCTATTTCAGCCTTTCGACTTTCAGTTATTCACAATTCTGCTGTTTGGGCCATTCTTAATGAGGTAAGAATATATGCAATCTATGATGCTACTTAGTTGATGCTTTTTGTTGTTGTTGTTGCATTTGAAGCCTTCTGGGAATTGCGAATTAACTGCTTTATCAAATCTTTCATTATTTTGTGTTTCAGATTCATATTAAAAAAGTCGCCAATTGATCTTCTAAGAAACCAACACATCCTTTCCATGACTCTGTCGATTAAAGATAGTTAGCACGTCCTTTTCTGTTTGGACTCGAACACTACCTCTCGTGAAGCCTACTGTAGATAGGATGATTGTCATTTCCACTCAGACAGGGGCTGTTCCCATGGATAACTGCATTCATTTGAAACTAAGCTGTCCTCCAATTTGAACTTGACACAAACGTTTTACAATTCTGACAGCCTGTTAATGCGACTGGGGCTTTTTTGGTATTATACTAATACATAAGAGTTGTACATATTGTTACATTCCTTAAAATTTGAGAAAACTAATGTTAAATACATTTTGTGGAGGGGGTACTTTTGAAGTTGATTTATTTTACTATTATAGACCCTCTTTTATAGACGATCAGGGATTATATATATATATATAAATATATAAATATACATAAAGATGTTATGGAGTTAATTTATTAGAAACACTTAAGAAGTACATATTTTTGTGCAGTAAATTTTTGAATCAATACCTTTTTTTGAAGAAGCAGTTCCCTGGCTTTTTTAAGTTCTTTCTATATTTTTCTTTGGAGATGCAGACATTGCAGATCAATACCATTTTTTCCAGTGCACTGCCATTCCAGACTGGTCCCAGATGGGTTTCTTAACTTGAAGTGCTTTTATAATCACAGCAGTTCTGAACAAAACATTTTCAGAGGCATTTGTCATTCTTTAAAGCCAAGATTTTAAAAGACCAGTGTCCTCTTGAGGGTTATTTTCCTGTACTGTGTATGGTGTGTAGCCACAGCAAACCAGTGTGGTATCTCCAGTGTCCAGGTGGGAGGCCCCTGTCCGAGTCTCCACACACAGAGTCTTTCAGGTCTCCCCTTGCGTGGGAGATGAGACTCTTCTTTCTAATCTGTCTTTAATCACTAGTTTGACACATCATCCCTTTCCTCACTGGTCCTTTTATACCTGTGTTAGGTTTGGAGTTCAGATCATGTTTTCTAGGTGATGTTGTTACGTGAATCATAATGGGTACAATTTACAAACTGGAACTGTACTGTGGGGCTCTGGTGAAAGTCACTGTAGTGCTTGTGTGTTTCCACAGAGTGATTGGCTCTGCTGTACCATGAAATTGGAAGTAAACACTGTGTCCACAGAGTGCTTATGCCTCCTGCCCTTGTAGTCCCACGTATACTAGTTTGTGGAAGTGCTTTACTTAGTTAGGAAGGCTAAGCAGTGTGGCCGGTCTGTGTCGGTGATTCAGGGGCTGCAGATGTCCAGCAGATGTGGTAAAGGTCTGGAACTCTGGGAGGTCCTAGCTGGTGGCCTCCAGCCTGGAGCTTCCTTAGTTGCCTAGTGTATGGGACACACAGCGCTAAGCGGCGATTTTGCATGCCGTGTTCTGGCTAGGAACATGTAGGTAAGTACTACTGTGCTGTATGTCAAGGCCCAACTGAAGTTTTTCTTGGGATTTTGTAAATTCCCCTCTCATTTCCTACTTTTTATTTTCTTCTCTGGTTTCCTAAGCCTGTTTCCTAAGACACAAGCAAATTCCTTTGAATAGAGGCACCTTTTCATTTTAAAATTTGAGCACTATCCACACACTAAATTACGGCTAATGCAGCAGGGTCACAGATGGTGAGACCAGGCAGATGGGTGCAGGGAGGCCCCCTAAAGGCTCTGGTTTCTCAATGGTTGTGACTTTAAGGGAGGCTGTGCTTTGATAATCGAGTAGGAGACAAACGCAACACCTGCCCCCATTTGAATGGCCGCCGCAAGGGTCTTCGTGCACATCCTCTTGCTCAGACCCCACTCATGGCTCCTGCTACCTAGGGATCAATAGCCAAGTCTTTTCCTTCACCCAGGGAACCTCTCCTTTTTCCCTGCGAGCTTGTTCCCAGTGCTTAGAACATGCGTGCGCCTTGGCAGGCTCTATTGGCATCTGGGTGAGTCCTTTTTCTCTTAGCTGTGTTTGCTTGCCATCCTTGCCATGCATGGGCACACACACACACACTCATTGTCTAATTTTTGTGGTGTGTGTTCTCTGGCACACTCCATGCTCTGGAGGCCAGCTCTCCTCCTGTCTTCCACTACAGCAGGTGCTTCCCTGACCCTCCTTTCTGCCCAGGACAGCCAGCCCTAGACAATCGAAGCAGATGTGCTTTCCCCAAGCCAGAAGTGTTAGTGGGAGCCCTTGGAGGTTGGCGAGGGGGAAGCTCAGGAGGGGAAGCCAGAGTGCCTAGAACTGCAAGGTGTACACATTACACCTCAGAGGCCACCAACCCACTTTCCCCTGAATAGTGAATGGAAAAAGTGCCAAATGCAATATGAATTATATCTACAGAATAGGCTGTGGTTGGCATCTGGTGTGTATTTCTAGAGTAGCCCTAGCCGCTACAGAGGCCACAGAGCACACAGTAGCTATTAAAATGAAAAACCAAGTTCTGTGCCCACAAGCTCAGTGGGCACATGTGACCAGCAGCCACCATAGTGGATCTAAGAAATATGGGACATTGTCATCACTGTGGGAGTGTCAAGTGTAAATATGAACATTCTAGAAAGGAGTGATGCATCCCGCTGCTGTGATTGACAGCAGACCTGTGGGTTCATCATAGTGCAGGTAAAGGTGTGTATTTCAGTGAGAAGGCCAAGATGGCCTGGGTGTATGTGACTGTCAGCATTCTTCCCAGCATGCATTGTATCGGTACCCTCAAGAGGTATGTTTGATTAAAAAGCGTTGAGAAAGAGTGAATGCAGATGGGTAGGCTAGATGTGTACGTGTGTGCATCCATTAGGGTGTGTTTGAAGAAAGGTTTTCTGTGGTTTTTGAAATCATTGGTTTCATGTAAAAGATCAGGTGTGCTTGTTTCAAAAAGCTGTCAGGAAAGCAGTAGACTAGGGTTGTTTTAGTCTTTCATAATGACAGAGTTCTCAACAGTACTATCCCCCAGTGAAGAGCCTGGCTGTGTGGAAGGAGTATGTTCAGGTTATCCCAGTTAATAGTGTGCATTTGTGGTATGAAGGATTCTAAGAATGCACCCTCCTGTCACATCCTCCCCGGCTCAGTGTGGTGAGAACTGTGACCATGATCCAGGGGCATGTCTTGTTACTTAGCTGAAGGGAGACATCTGTGGGTGACCAGTGTAATCTTGTGAGCCATGTCAGGCTGGTAGGAAGGAGAGACAAAAGCAGCAACAGAACTCTGAAACACCATCGCTGGCCTAAGTGGAAGGGGCCTCCCAAAAGGTCTGCAGATGACTGGCTGAGGAAGTAGGAGCTGTAGTCCTTGTGCCCCAGGACAGCTTCACCTCCACACGCACCCCAGGCTTGGAGATGGACGTTGTCAGGTGGGAGGCCAGCCTGGCAAGCGCCTTCACCACAGCTTTGCAAGGGGAGCGCTACACAGACAGCTCGGGTAAGCCAGACTTCTGAGCTGCGGAGCGGTGAGGTGTAATACATGGGTGGTGCTGTAAGTGGCCAGATGTGGGGTTTGTAACAAGCAATAGAAAAAGAATTTAAAACAGTTCTGAGAAGGCTTCATATTTGATTGCTTGCAGGTTACTTTTTATTTTTTTTAATTTTTGTTTTTTCGAGACAGGGTTTCTCTATAGCTTTGGAGCCTGACCTGCAACTAGCTCTTGTAGACCAGGCTGGCCTTGAACTCAGAGATCCTCCTGCCTCTGCTTCCCGAGTACTGGGTTTAAAGGTGTGTGCCACCACTGCCTGAATTGCTGTTTTTTTCTTTAAATTTAAGGACAGGGTCTCACCTTGCACCCCAGGGTGATCTTGAACTTCTATCTGCCCAGTGCTGCCTCGCCAGTGCTGATGTGAGTCACCATGCCCAGCTTGTTGACATTTTGTTTTGATTGACATCCAGAATAAACTCATTCCTAGCAAGTCTCATTCCTGGGTCTCAAGCTAGAATGTTCTATGACAGAGACCCTCATCTCCATTACAAGGTAGAGTTTTGTACCATCTGTGTTCTGTAAAACAGCTGCTAGGATGAGACTAGGTGTGGGGTAGATGAGGCTAGATTACACCGACTTAAGGGCCTGTTGGATGTACTTGAAAGAATGATGAACCGTGGTATTTTCCATCAGATTGAAGAGAGGAAAGAACTCCTGCCTTTGTTGACTCACAGGCGTGTCTGCCCTTCTGACAGCGGCATGGCACTGTCATCTACAGAGGACACACTCGAGAGCCACACAGTTCAGTTACACAAACAAAAAAGAAATGTTAAACAGCTTTAAGTTTACAGTTTTGTACTGTGCCATTCATTGCAATCTGGGCCACAGGCTGAACATACCTGCTAGCGCTTAGGCTAAGAGAAGTGTAATTCTTTAAAGCCATTTAGTTCAATAGCTTGCTAGCACAGCGCAAGTCCTGTATGTACCAAGGTTTTGTATTTAGATGCTTTCCAAAATCCCTCTGATTCCAAGCCATTAATTGCTAACGAAGTTTTTTTTTTTTTATTTTGGTGCACTCCCTTGTGCTTTTTATTTATTTATTTTACCATACTGCCAGAGCCTTGAAGGAAAACCAACAGAACTGAAGGAAAGGAGTTTAGAGGTTAAGCACTGTCGGGTCTCACAGCCCTGTGCTGTCATCATTTTCATATGGTAAGGGATCTTAAGTCCCAGCTCAGTCCTTTTGTAGAAAAGGGCATTCTCAAGCTATGTAGCAACATTTATAGCTTGTAAAATCTAAACTTTGATAGTTATGAGGATTTAAATGATTAATCTTAACAGATATATGCAATGCTAAATATGCTCAATTTAATGCATGTGAACATTCAATGCTAAAAAGATGACCAGTCTTTTACAAAGACAAAAAAACAAAAACCAAGGATTTTGGTACCCATGCCCCTGTACCATCACTAGCTAAATGAAGCCTTGTTTCTGAAATGTTCCCTTTCCCAGTTTTTACACTACCTAAAGGGCTCCTGCGAGAACAGACAGCATGTGACCCTGTGTGTACAGTATCAGTAACCTGAGTTCGAGGGAGGGGGAAGCATGTGTGGGAGCCACACCCAGGATGAGCATGGTAGAATATGTGCAGGGGGGTCCAACTGCTCTGAACAGGCTTGTTCGTTGTGGGGACAGCTAAACACTTACGGATGCTAAGGAGGCTGCTTCCTGCAGCTGCTCCTAGTACAGCTGAACTGGTAATTAGCACTTGGTCCCAGAATGAAAGCATGGGGTTCCTTTAGCTTGCTTAGCATTCCAGTCTTTATTGGAAATGCTGTGTTTGCTCTAGCTTGGTGTAAAACTTCCTGAAGATGCAATGCCTGAGCCATACAAAGGGCTGCTGGGAGAGTACTGTCCGGAGTACTGCCAGCAGAGTCTTCCCAGTGTAGAGTTCACTAAGTCTCAGTCATGTTTCCCCTGTGGAGGGAAAACCGCTCAGCTGGAACACCTCTTCCAGAAAGGCTGTCTTTGCATTGGGGGATGTTTCTCAGAGCAGCCCAGGGAATCTGCAAGGTTGTACCAGGTTTTTTCCCCCTTCTCCTCCTTAAATGTATTGTACATACTTTGCTCAGTGTCTTCATGGGTTGAACAGTTAATATAGATGCAGTAATATTTGAGGTACCTGTTGGATTTTTAAAGGCAGATTATTTATTTTCAAGTTCGCTGCTATAATTGAAACCTAATGTCCTGTTGACTGTGCCTTCCATAACCGTCTCTGTGCTATAACTGTCCATGTGTATTTGAAATAAAGAAGTTTGAAAAGCCATGTTGAATCAAGATTCCTTCTAATAAAAATGGCTCAAACCGAATGAACCGATAGAATTTTTTAAGTGTTATTACTATGGTGTTTACTTAACCTGTTTTTCAACTAGTTGCTGGTTCCTCTTGAATCTTTAAAAGGGAAACATGCCATCCTGCTAAGACAGTGGCTGTCATCTATACAGGTATTCACTGCTTATATACACAGACAGTTTTCAAATGACAGGGGCTCCTGTGTGAGCCACACTGCAGGCAGAGGTAAGTTTGTACATCTTGCCAGCAACAAGATAGTGTGCGACATCTACCCCTTACTTATGCCCTTGATATTTTATATATAACTTCAGGTTAAATAATTAAACAATTACATCCTTTAGTTTAAAAATATTAGAAATGTACATTTAATTAGTTTTCAGGAATGGTCTGGACAATAGTGTTAGTATCACCTCAGATTTGTAAACTTTACATCTTTAAGATATCTACAAAGATAATTTACAGACTTTACAAGAACAGATCCCTTCTCCAACACCAGACAGTTCAGCTGCAATGCTGTCGTCCCCTTCATTTCACTCTGTATTTGTAGAAGGAACACAGCATGTGGGTAAAGTTCCACCCCAGTGCCAGCGACAGTCCATACAGCACAACGAGAGGTGCAAATGGATAGAGCAGGATCACTGTCTTTTTCAAAAACGGCAGTGCTGGAAAAGAAATGGGATAGGAGTGGCAGATGAACATACTCAAAGAAAAGCTCTTCAACACCCAGGGCCAAAGAAGGAGCACACTGCATAGGACCATGATGCTGATTGCAGAACTACAGATATATCTGAGCAGAGGGACCTTCCTAATGCTGCAGCCCTTTAATACAGTTCCTCATGTGTGGTGACTCCCAACCATAAAATTACTTCATTGCTACTTTATTAACTAATTTTGCTACTGTTATGAATCATAAATATCTGATATGGAGGATATCTGATGAGACCCCCCCCACAGAGGTCATAACCCATGAGAACTGCTGATCTAGACAGATGCCCTAGGAGTCTAAGCATGTAAAGTAATGGATCTCACTATGTCATTTTCATACACAGACTGATAGCACATGGAACAAAACCACTTTTAGGCATTGGAGTATTTCCACTGCAAAATCAACACACCTCAGATTGAGACGTAATCAATGATTCAACATTTGGGGAACAAAAGCACTCTACTGTATAAACACAAAGATTTATCTCATATTTGTATTTATAAACATATATGTATACACACACGTATATATAGTATTATGCCTGCATGCATGCCGGCACAGATCTCAAACAGTTATGAGCAACCTTGTACACTGACCCAGGCAGTTCTTAGACACTGCATACTCAACAGCTGTAAGAAGGCACTAAGGGACCCAGTGCTTCAGTGCCATGGATTACAATACTTTCAAGATAATGTGAAAATTCACTAGAAAAACCCTAATACCCCAAACAAGGCAAGTGGAAGATTAAGTGATCCCTGGGAAACTGGTAATCGGGTGAGGAACAAAGCCGTTTATATTTATCCTAAGGTCCCAGTCATCCAAAGAGCAAAGAAGTGGAACTACACTGTGGGTGGCTCTGTGAGATCAATCTTAAGATTTCTAGACTTTAGCAATGGGATTTTGGGAGTTGAACATAGGACCTTTACAATGTGTACATTCCCAGCCTAAGAGTATTCTTCATTCACATTAGGAAAAGTAATGGAGAAGACTTAGCAATGAGTTTGCAAATATGGTCTGGGATCAGCAGATCCCAGAATCATCCACAGAACTGAAGGTCTGTAACCATGAGCCCATGCCTTTTCTACTCTAGCCCATGGTTAATACATGGAGCCTGAATCCACACCAGGAAAGAAAATGGTCAGGGACTTCCACTTGTAACTTGGAATTTGAGTTGTAACAAGTGTTACACGACACTCTGCTTGTGGACAGTGGGCAAGCTATAAGGTGAGTATACTTGTGAAATTGTGAAGGTCATATGGAGTCTGACAGGTCCCTGTAACTCCACTGCTAACGTCTATGCTCTCTCCTGTTACACTCTTAAACCACCGAAACTTACCACTGTATCCCAGGAAGGTCACATAGATATAATAGCCAACAGCAATCAACCATAAAGTATTTCCAACTAAGTATCCAATAAATGTATCTGTAAGGATAACATCTGCCAGAAAAAAAAAAATGCATATAGTGAGTCTCTTCACACAGTAAGAACGTTGAGAACATTTGAGAAAAATACTTACGGTTGATGAAAAAGAGCTGGATAAAATGCAGAATGACCAGGAGTGGATAAAATGCATTCAGGTGCACATCAAAGGCGTACCCCCACTCCACGTCGTAGTCTCTGCTCTGCCGCTTCACTAGATACTTGTTGGAGATGAACCTGAGCAGCAAAATGAGAACTTCTTACACAATGTACTAGTTCTCGGCACCAACCACTTTCTGGGTCCCACGTTACCAAAGTTCTAGAGATGGAGTAATGAGACGGGCAGTGCCGCTCTCTAGTGGGAGAAGCCTGCGTGGTGCTATGGAGAATGGCAGAGGTGCAAAGCTCAACACTGAGGTAAGGAAGCAAGGCTCTGACGGTGCAGGCACACAGAAGACCTGTATGTGCCTGTAAGAAGGAAGGACTAGAGCAGGCAGCTAGTCGAGGAAATGCAGTCAGCTCTTCAGGAGCCTGTGGCTACTTTGTGACTTTTCAATCTTTTACTCATGGTAGAAGCCAGGGCCAAGATACATGTCAGAAATGTTTTGATAGGGTCTTCTTGATGGCCAATTGAGAGCAGACTCCACAGATGAGAGGACAATAGCCTGTCACTTGAGTCACCTAACAGTGAAGGTGATGAGGTGTGCAACATTAGTTGAAGGTGAAGCCTGAAAGTCACAACAGTCTTGCCCTGAGCAAGTAGGAAGACAGCAGTGCTATCAGCCAAGGACGGTTGGTGGTGCCAAAAGTAGTTCTGAGAATGAAGGGGAGGACAAGGTTTGTGATTAGCTTAATTACCAACATGAGTTAAGATGTATTTAATGCCAGCAGTTCAAAGGAAAGGTCTAAGGTAGTGTGTGGATGATACTGAAAGCCATGGGCCTAAATGACATCACCAGAAACATGACATCCAAAACAACCAACTCAACAAAAAACCCAGGGCCAAGACTCACACCATCTGCCTTTACCATTAAAAGTGAGGGAAACAGGAGGAGACGGGAAAGGGGCTGACTCGCAGTACCATGAGAACAGTATGGACACGTGCTTCTACAGCTGTTCTACAGACTGGCCTACCAAAAACTATCGTGTTCAGATCCTCAATGAAAAGGACTATTCTATAAACATCTGTGAACATGTCCTTTTTTACGTTAATAGGTTTTAAATATGAGTTTTTAATTATAACGTACATTTATTGTTGGGGAATATTTTCAGGTGTGTTTTGTTTATGCTGGATTTGATAAACTGTGAAGCTGTGATTCTTTGCCTGTCTAAAACACCTGATAAAGAGATGAACGTCCAATGGCAAGGCAGAAGCAAGGATGGCAGGGCTAGCTGGCAGAGTATAAAAGGAGAACAAGGTGCAAAAGAACAAGAAGAGGAGGACATCAGGGGCCAGCCAGGACACCCAGGTACACAGCAAGCCACTGAGAAAGTAGTAAAGAAAGGTATACAGAAAGAGAAAGATAAAAGCCCAGAGGCAAAAGGTAGACAGGTTAATAAGTTAAGAAAAGCTGGCTAGCAATGAGAGAAGCTAAGGCTGGGCATTCATAACTAATAATAAGCCTCTGTGTGTGATTTACTTGGGAGCTGGGTGGCAGCCCCCGCCAAAAGAATAAAATGTTACACAACATTTTATGAGTGGGGGGAGGAGGTGCCATAGTAGCATGAAGTCCAAGAACAACTTTCTGGAGTTCTTCACGTGAATCCTGGGGATTAAACTGGGCAAGTGTCTTTAATTGCTGAGTCTACATCACTGTATTTTAATTCAATTTAATGTCTTAATATTGAATACAGACAACAGGGTCGGGCTGTTCCAGCACACAGGAGATGAAAATAGGACAATTTTTAGTTTAAAGGCAGCTTGGGATACATGGTAAATTCTGGGCTAGCTATAGTGTAAGACCCTAACTTATACAGCACAACAAGACAAACACACTGAAGAAAGCATGGCAGAATGTGATAAACAGTCTATACTTAGTTTTATCAAAAGCCAAAAAAAATAGTGCTTCACTTGTACAAACTGTAACTTACCAAACACTGTTTTAGCCAAGAATATGTGCCGTTCAATTTTACAAAAATCCATGAAACAAGCCCAGAAAGAAAAAATTTTAAAAAGAAACAAACAAACAGAAAAAGCACCACCTGACCTCAGAGTAACAGGAAATGGAATCACGGATACCAGATGCTAAGAAAGTAGGGGTGACAGAGGTTGAACTGTGGCTATCAAAATAGAAGCAAGGAGTTCTGAAGCTCACAGCAGTGGGGCTAGACGTTTTGTAAGAGAAGACTAAAAAGGTTCCCAACACCAATAAGCTGTAAATGGGATGGGAACTCTTAAACTTTGATTTGATCATTACTCATCATATACATACATTGTTATCACACGGAACTTCATAAATTCTAAAATTTAAAAATAATTATGAATGATAAAGGAACTTGGGGTAGTATGCATGCAGTTCATTCCTCGGTTCTTTTGTGTAATCACCACTCTCCCGCTGCACCTCCACGCACCCCTTAAACGGGACAGACATTCCTTTCTAGAGGATTCTAAGGCAACTAACTGGCTGCTCTCTCCCACCTCCAAGACGGCCACATCTCAGGCCTGACTGCCATCTGTAGGTTCCATCTACCTTGTGCCACCACCACCTTCTCCAGTACACAGCCCACCAGTTCCCTGACCCAGCATGGTCAGCAGAACACTTCACCAGCATTTATCACACAGTCCCAAGCCCTGACTCCCTAGCCACCACATCCCATTACCACAGGAAGCTCTAAATTCTTCTCTCTTCATCCTACCACCACACTGTTCTGGACATCCACTTCTACCCTGAGCCCCTGTGATTGTACCCTGTGTCCCTACTTCTCTACTCCTTCCCCACCATGCTGAAGACATTTTTGACAATGTGAACTGATTTTCTTCATTCTTAGCCTCCTAGCTCTCCATTTCTCTTCTACCCTCCAACCCACACATAAAAGCCTATTTTTTTTCTGAGCTTCATAAAGGCTATTTTCTAAGTCTCATTTCTTCATAGGCAGTTGGCGTCACCTGTACCCAGACCTACCGCAATGCTGCACATAACTAGGGCTGGGCACCTGCACATCCTGGAACCAGGAATAAACTGTCTCTTAGCTCCCGTAAAACATGGCCTTATGTTGGTTGGCATTTCTGCGATGGTTTTTTTCCTTTTTTTGGTGGGGGAGGGGTGTCTCACAGGTTTCTGACACCTATGTTCTCACAAACAGTACAGCGAGTCCTTTTCTACTTGAACAAACTATGGAAGACACAAACCAAGGCTGCCTTGGTGTCTGTGGCCACCCAGAATCACCGCACTCATAGTAGAACACTCGCAACAAACTGTTCTTGGAAGCTTCACATATTTGCCCCAGAAGCCACTTGACAATGAGTATCTGATTTATAGCAGTAGTAGTAATCTTGGGCCAGGGTTTAGAAATTAAGATTAATGATACACAATAGCATTAACTATCCAGTACCCATAAAACCAACAGCTACAAAGGAAAATAAAAGGTTGCTCTCCAGTTACAGCCTTGGCATTTTGTTTAAAATAGTAATAGCTATCATATACTAAACAACTCATCTAGGTACCAAGGGCCTATTACCCCACACCCCTAACAACATCTAGTGAAAACAATCAACTCCCATTTATAAAGGAGACTAACAAACGACTGACAGCATGTGGACCTCAGTCTGAGAGTGAAATGGCCCTCCAGGTTTTCTCTGTTCCCTCCTCAGTCTTCCCCCTCCACCTAGTCCACTTCTTCCACCCACTACCGTTGCCCAGGAAGCCAACCACACAAGAGCATTCTCTGTGACAGAAGTGAGAAGCTCAACACCAAACTACTGTTGCTGAATCAACCCCAGCCAGAGCAGGCCACGGGCCTTGAAGACCTCTGAACGTGCTTTCTTCTCAGCAGGAAGGAGCCACATTAAAAAAAAAAAAAAAAAACATTTCAAACACAAATGACTTAATGTCAAAGAGTCAAAGGAAAAGTCCAAGGATAACCCTGCAGATGTGAATGGGTCCCAACACTGCCAAAGCACTCACGTGGCTGGAAGTGATCTCCACTAACAAATGCAGAAAGCAGCTAACCAGACACAAGCAGAATCATAAATACTATCTTGGAAAGTCATTCTGGGATTTGCTACAGTGACAATAAGCATCCATTCAAATATTTCCTGATCTAGCACAGACATCGACCAAGTTACAATAATCTTGGCAGCCAATCTGGCCACTTCAGCTACTCTATTTGGACTTAATTTCCATTAGCTACTGCACCTCTGAACAAGCAGAGGCCCAACAGTGTATAACAAAATCAACTTATGGTACTTACCACATCAAAGTTGATATCAGAAGGCCAACACCTACACAATCTATGAATACAACCCAAAGGAGCAGCTTTATTGTCTCAAAAAATCCCATGTCCAGCACAAAGCCAAATCCTATGGTGGACACTGAAATAAAAGTTACAAGAGTCACTGCTAGGCTCTAGGGTACAAGAAATAGTCCCTGGCATCCATATGCCCAAAATGTGGTGGTGGGATATGGACAATGAAATAAAACCCTCAAGATTTATTATATGCAACTCACAGAGGAATAAATGCCACCTTTGAGTGCGGGTAAAGGAACTGGATTAACGGGCAAGTTTAACATGACACACAAAGTCTGTTCAGAAGGCACACAACTTATTTTAAAACCCAGTTAAATGTGAAAAGCAGCTACATACTTCAGTACCCTAGAGCTGACTGGGATGCTTCCTTGATGTAAAGGAGAACTTGAAGGTGGTTTTTCAAGTTCAAATCAGTACTTCCAGTACCCTTACCGGGAACACAGGTGTAGCTCTGTGTAGAGCACTTGCCTGGTATGGTTAAGTCCCTGGTTACTATCCCTAGTCCTACCAACACCCTCTTTACCCCCTGCCAGAAATAAAATAAAACAACCACTACCATCTCCCAGCCTCACAGATCTGGCCCATCGTGAAACGTAATTTCCCATCCCTTTGTACACAGTTTGGGATAGGCTCACATTAGTTTTTGTTTGTTTGTGTTTTTAAAGTCAGTAAGTGTGGTGGCATATTCCTGTAATGCCAGCACTCGAGGCTGAGTTAAGAGGATCTTGAGTTCAGTGCCAGCCTGGCCTTTACATCTAGACCCTGTCTCAAGAAGGAAACAGCAGCAATATGGAGTAAACCATCTGCCCCACTTTTCAGTGTCCCAACACAGTAGTTTACTCTAGCCTATGTGTCACACCCTCATCAGGAAGAACATTAGTTTCTTTCTTGCCAGCTTTTTAAGGTTTCAAGAGGGGGCTTCAAATACCCCCAAATTCTAACCACAATACTTTATGACAAAAGATACTACACATGGGGCTGGAGAGATGGCTCAGTGGTTAAGAGCACTGACTGCTCTTCCAGAGGACCTGGGTTCAATCCCCAGCACCCACATGGCAGCTCACAACTGTCTGAAGATCCAGTTCCAGGGGATCTGACACCTTCATACCAATGCACATAAAGTAAAAGTTAAATAAACTCTAAGAAATGTTTTTTAAAAAAAGATACTCCACATAAAATACTCATTTATTTCTCAACTGCACTGCTTGGAAACTAACATACTTACCACAGAGCCAGACACTTAAGAGGACCAAGAAAGCAGGGTCATCTCTGGCCCACTGATCCTTTGTTTGCTTCCGATAATGGAAGTTCCTATAAACCCTCTGTGGGGATGTGAACAGGTAGAGCATCTGCCATGCGGCAAACTCAAAGTCCATCTGCCGAAATCGGAACAGCCTTCTGAGGTACTTGTAGCGCTTTGCTCCAGCCGTGTGTCTCGCGGCATCCCTGGAATTCAAGACTCCATTCCCCTGCATCGAAGAACTCACTGAAGTACTTGGTAACATCTTCCTGGATGGAATAAGAATATGTCTCTTAGATGTAACTTTAAGAACCGTCTGTCCGCTAGCACTCCTCTCCAGAGTTGTGGTATTTTCTCCGGCTACCCTCAGGAAGGACTGGGGGCCAGAAGCAATGGAATTGGCTCGGGGGCTTCTCTAGGGGCTGGCAAGCGTTAACTGCTCTTCCATCAAGGGCAGTGCCACGCTCTTCATCACCTGAAACCATTTATCTCGAGCCCATGGGTTTCCACCCTTCACCCCAATCAAACCTTTGACAGCTGTATTAGCTAACTAAGGAAGGTAAAGTGGAGGACGAGGAAAAAGCAGCACAGGGACGTGAAATGACCTCCTTACGGACAAAGGACAAAGACTGGAATTCTGACTCAAAATTCCATGTTCCTAATGGCCAGGATTTAAAACAAAACAGCAACAACAACAACAACAAAAACTTCGTTTAAGCTGAAAGCAATGTTATTGAAGAGGTAAAACAACAGTTTATTCGTACAAGTTCACCACCGACAGTCAGCAAGCTCCTTCAGAATGTTACATTAAAAAAAAGCAAATTCCAACCCTTGGTGCTTTTACTCCCACAATAGCTGGGTAGGATGAATAACAGCATCCTACTGGAGGGGCCAGTCCAACTAATCCGAAGCTAAGTGACGCCGGTCACCGCCCCACCCTCGGCCCAGCCTCCGTAGCCACAGGTGCCAGCACACCTCGATGCCCCGCCCCGCCAGCAGCTCTCCATTACCCCAAGCCTGTAGGTCCGCAGTCAACTTAAAATGCAGACCTCCCAGTGACATTCGAGTTAAGAACAAGCAACGTAAAGGTTTCAGGGTACCTGTCTCCTGTGCAAAACTCCAGACCTGCTTAGAATTAAAAAAAGGCTCTATTTCTGCGATTCCAACGTCAAGGCGCGTCTTTGGTGTTACTGCCAGCCGAAGGCTCCAACTGCTGGCCGCCGAGACGCCGCTGTCCGTGGAAACGGCCGTCAGGACGAATGACACCCCGATCACACAGAGCAGGCCTCACCTGAAGGCCGGCCCGTGCCGCCTCGCCCTGGGCCCGGGACTACCGCCACCTTCGCCCGGCAGCCGAGCCCAGCCACCGCCGGGGCTACTTCCCCTACCGCTACGTAGCCCGCACTTGCGGCGCCCCGTATTGACGTCACGGACACACTTCCGTTACGCATGCGCACACCCTCGAGACTCGCTGGTTTTATGGCGGGCCCGCCGGAAGTGGTTGCGAACGTCTCTTACCCCCTCGACCCTGTCCGTGGGCGTGGCCCGCGCCCGTCCGGGCGGCCGCCGGTGGCTGAAGACGGTGCTCCGGCATCGTGAGTTCGGCGAGCGCAGCCATGCCCCGGTATTACGAGGACAAGGTGGAGGGCGGCGCGTGCGCGGGCGTGAAGGAGGACCTGGGCGCGTGTCTGCTGCAGTCGGCCTGTGTGCTCCAGGTAGCGCGTTCGGGGAAAGAGCTCGGCGACGACTGGCTGCCTGTCGGCCTGCGGGGGCGGTCAGATCGGAGGTGGAGGTCGCAGCCTTACCCGCGGATAGATTAGATTTTGGCCAGCTCTCTTGAGGTCTCGGCCCCAGTTCTCGCTGGTGTTTAATGGGAGATCACTGACGCACCTCCCCATCTCAGGTTTTTGTAAACATGCAGCCATCTCAGTTCAAGTGGTTCCCGAGTGCTGGCACTCTGCTCCACGGGAAGCTGGCGAGGCCTGTTCCTGCACTGTATGGCTCCTTGATCTGTGATGGAGATTTTGGGTTCCGTGGCTTCTAGAGTATGGACGTCAATATGATCTTATGGCGTGCCGTAGTTTCTCCTTGCCGATCTTTAGCCAGTCTTTAAAAAAGTTCAGTATTGCATTCTGGGAGGAATTCACCATAAACCTGTATTTTATGTGGTGCTATGGGAGACAGTCGAGGCTCGGAGAAACTCGGGGTAGTAAGTATGAACTCAGGTGATAAGAATGTAAGTTCCAATGGGGGCTAGTGAGAAGAAGGGGGTGAGGGTGGGGGAGAGGGTTCAGAAACAACTTTGAGATAGACTTCTTAAGGTTTTATGACTTCTGGGAGGCCAGAAAAGTTGGAACAGCCAGAGGGAACTCGCCAGGGTTTTCCATGTGGCTCCATCGACAGAACACTTACTGATCTTCACCTCAGGAGAGCATAGCCGTCTTGCCCAGACTCACCGCTCTAGCCCTTTCACCTGGTTGTTTGAGATAAGGTGTGTCGCGGAACCTGACTGGCTAGGCTACCATATCTGCTGGTCTCCACTACGCAGCTGTGGGATTATAGGCGCCTGCCACCACGCCCAGCTTTTTCTGTGGGTGCTGAGCTGGAGACCTCATACACAGCAAGCACGTCATTCACTTAGCTATTTCTCCAGCCCCTCATTAGCGTTTATGCAGTGTTTATTACCAACCCTAAAAGGGTCTCATTTTAAGGCATCAATTTGTAGTTCTCATCCGCAGGAAGGCTTATATGAACATTAATGATGTGTTCTGAAAAATCTCAGACTCTGGGGACTGGAAAGACAGGTGGCTCAGTGGTTAAGAGCACTTGTTGCTCTTATAGAGGACCTGAGTTTGGTTCCTGGCACCCATATGGTGGTGCATAATCACCTATAACTCCAGTTCCAGGAGCTCTGGTACCCTCTTCTGTCCTCCATGGTACCAGGTCTACACGTGGTGTCCATTTGTACATACAGGTAAACACTCACACAGATAAAACAAAATTTTAAAACTGACTCAGAGTACTCAGTTATTTAATAATCTTTACATTTGATTTTCTTCACCAAGAATATTAAAAAAGGAATTAAGAACTTGCTTAAATTAACTTTTCTGAAAAGAGCTTCTTTGGGAAGAATAGTTGTTTTGTGCGTTGTGGGACAAATTTCCCAGGCGTTGACGTTGGTCTCTGTGTCACAGGAGGGAAAGTCTCCACGGCAGTGTTTGAAGGAAGGGCACTGCAGAGCCCTGCAGTATTCGTTTTTTGAGTGTAAAAGATCAATGGTAAGTGATTAACCGTTTTGAAAAGCTTTGGTTAACTGTATAGAATTAAATGTGAATGCTTTAATAGTCATAAATTGGTTGTTGTGATATGGTTTGGATAATAGTGTTTGGGCTCCAGTGATAAAGGTGAGACAGCATTCACAAAATTTCCCAACTTTGTTAGCCTCCAGGGCTGCTGACCCTCACGGTTTTCTGAAAGTGTGAGGGTGAAGTCTTAGCAAGTATAAATGGGAGGAGTTGATAGCCAGAGGCATGAATTCTGGTCTTTTGCAGTTACACACAAGCTGGGACAGCTGAGGACTGTGTTTGCACTTCTGCCTTATGTGACCAGGAGAAAGTGCCAGTGTTTGTGTTTTGGACATGCATCACTAATCCCTGGGACTCTGGTCCCTGATCTCTACTCGAAAGATCTACATAGATCTTTGGGATGAAAACAGGCTTTTTATGGGAAAAGTATGAAGTCAGAAATGTGAGCTTCCCTAGAAAGAAGGCACATGGGTGGGCTTGAGCGTGTGTTTGCTGGCTTTGGGACTATGCCGAGAGCTCTTCTGTTCTGTTCAGGAAGAAGCAGAGGGCACAGAGGTTCAACATGCAGGAGACCAAAACCCAGGGAGATGCTGCCTGGCCATGGCGCTTCTCTTCTCAAGTAGCAGCCTTCTGCCGTTTATGGCAGCCTCCCTGTGTAGTTTTCCTGCCTGCCTCCTTGAGTAGCTTTGTCAGCTGTGTGAAATGCAAGCCTCTAGGCTTGTGTGGAATTTGAAAGTCTGTTCCAGGCATTGGGAAGGCACAATGATTAGTAAAAGAGATGCTCCTCTGTACCATCGTATCAGACAACAGCAGATTCCTGGAGACTCCTCACCTAATCTTCCTTCTTCCTTCCGTTTCTCTCTCTCTCTCTCTCTTCCTCCCTTCCCCCCTCCCTCCCTCTCCCATATTGAAGTTAGATATGACAATCCAACAGGAGGAAAAGAGTCTCAAGAGCAAGCAAGAGTCAGAACCATAAAAATACTGAACTAATGGTGATAATACATACACAGAGGACCTGCTGTAGCCCCATGTAGGCCCTATGCTTCATGCCTCAGTCTCTTGAGCGCATATGTGCCTTGCCTAGTTGATTCAGAGGACCTTGTTCTTCTGATGTCCGCCATCCCCTCTGACTTTGACAATCTTTCCTCCTCCTCTTCTGCTGGATTCCCTGGTCTATACTGGGAGGGATTTGATGGAGACCTCCAGCTTAGACTCTTTGTGTCATGTCTGGTCTGCATCTGTTCCCATCTGCTGCCAGTGCAGGCCTCTCTGATGATGACTGGATAAGGCACTGATCTGTGAATGCAGCAGAACATCATTAGGAGCCGTTTATTGTTGTTCGGTTTTACCCTATGTTTTTGGGCTATTAGTCTCTGGTACTTGGTTACCCAAGCACTGTACTATATGGGCTCGTTCCTGTGGAACGTTCCTTAAGTCAAATCATACATCTGTTGGCCACTCCCACAAGTTCTCTGCCATTCTTACCCTAGCATATTTTGCAGGCAGGACAGATTGTAGGTTAAGGTTTTGTGACTGGGTTGTTGTTCACATTTCTCTTTTGATAGTCTGTGAGTACTTTCCTGTACAAAAAAAAACAAAAAAACTAGAACACAGGGGTGAAGGTTCCATGTAGGCACCAGTTTGACTTCTCCATGTTCGACGAGTTGTATAAATGTCCTTGGCAATTAGGCCCACTGTGGCTGTCGGTTTGTGGAGAGCAACCCTTTCTCTTGGCATCAGCCTGAGCTGTTTGCGGATTTCCATGGAAATTTTTCTTCTATGAATTTGTTGAAAATATTTTCTGGGCCTTTGAGCTGGGTTTCTTCTCTTTCCTCTATCCTTTTATTCTTAGGTTTGGTCTTTTCATACTGCCCAGATTTCCTGGATGATTTGTGTCAGGAATTTTTTAGATTTAGTATTTTCTTTGACCAATGTATCCATTTCTTCTATGCCAGAGATGCTGTCTTCCATCTCTTATAATGTTGGTGAAGCTTGCCTCTGTAGTGCCTGTTCAGATTCCTAATTTTCCATTTCCAGACTTGCCTCAGTTCTTGTTTTCTTTATTGCTTCTATTTCCATTTTCAGGTCTTGAGCAGTTTTATTCATCATCTTCCTTTCCTCCAATTGTTTGTCTGTATTTTTCTGGATTTCTTTAAGGAGTTTATTAATTTTCTCTTTAAGGACCTCTGTCATCTTCATATAGTTGTTTTTAAGGTCTTTTCCTTGTGCTTCAGCTATGTTGGAAATTCAGGACCTGCTGAGGTAGGGTAGCTGGGCTCTAGTGGAGACATATTGCCCTGACTGTTTTGATTGTGCTCTTCCACTGTTGGGATGATTGTAGGTCTAGGTGTTGATTTCTGGGTTTCTCTTTGTTGGGTGGGGGTTTTGTTTCTTGCATTCTGTTTCCTCTCTGGATGTTTGGAGAGTGTGGTGGCTGTGTTGCCTGTTTTACTGCTGTGCCCAGCTGGTGTGCACAGGGAAGGCCTGCTGGTGTTGGAGGCTGGGATGCAGCGACAAGTGAGGAGGGATGATGGTCTATGGGATGCACAGATGTTGGGGGGCTGCAGCTGGTGTTCTGTTGCAGCATTAGGGATGAGACTGAGGAATTGGGTCTTGGGGAACAGAGAGAGCTGAGAAGGTCTATGGGCAGCCTACAGGATTTCTGAAAGGCATGGCCTCTTTTGAGTAATTGTAATCATTTTAAATCTTTTTGTTTGTTGTTTTTGTTTTGCGAGACAAGGTTTCTCTGTGTAATAGCCCTGCTGTCCTGGAACTTGCTTTGTAGACCAGACTGACCTTGAACTGAGAGATTTGCCTGCCTCTGCTTCCAAGCGCTGGGATTAAAGTTTTGCACCACCATGCCTGGCTATAATTTTGAATTTAAAATGTCAGTGATTTGCTGGATAACAGTAAGAGGTACTGTCCCTGGAGCAGACAGTGATCTCAGACTGTTCCTCCAAGCCTGTGACTGTGTGTCACTTAGCTGTTGAGTGAAAGAAGCCAGGAATATGTATTTAGGAATCTGGCTAATTCTTCTGTTTCAGAGCATGAGTTCCAGGGTCCACAAGATGGGTTGGTTGAACCATCCCAGTGTTTTTCC